TTTCTCCCAGTAGACAATTAGAAAAAACCATTAATAAAAAAAAAAAAAAAAAAAAAAAAAAAAAAACCAACAAAAACCACATCATCTTTGGAGAAGGAAGAAAACAAACCTATCCACAACAGGAGCCAGAAGCGCCTCATCCTGCCCTTGAAACAAGCTTTTGCTTTGCCTTTGCTATTTTTCTTTCTAGGAAAGTTATCTTGGGAGAAAGGGAGCAGGACTCAAGGAGAAGTCAGGACTCAAAGGAGAAGTCCACGTGTCTGAGTCCAACGGGAGGATGCTCCCCAGCCACACCATCCAGGCAGCTGCCCACCCCATGGGGACCAGGCTGCCCTCCCTGCAGCTGGATTTCATAAATCCTCCAATCTTTTGTGTAGGGACCAGCGAGGCTCCCAAAAAACCATGCAGTTATTCCAATCAACAGCTGCAGTGAGTGCTTCACAAAGTCATTCATCTCATGAGTTGTGCTTTTAGGGGGTTTGCCTGCCTGCTCTCTCCCTCAAAGCATCACCCTCTCCCCAAAACTTACCCTGGGGAGAGCTGGACCCAGCCGTGTGGTTCATCATCATCCCCCCAAATCCCAGCCTGGCTCCCGGTTTCTCCGTGCTGGGAAGCCACCGCACCATCAAACCCGTCACCCTGATGCGGCTGGCTATTGCCCCATCCCAACAACTAGCTTTTTCTAAGCAACCGGGCCTTGGTGGACCATAATTTAGGGAGCTGCTGATTAATACCGAATGCAGATGTGCTGACATGGTGCTGTAATTAATTATGGTAAGTTATTAAGCCCCGCCCTCGTGGAGCCGACAGCGAGTTCCGCGCTGGGGAGGGCGGCTGCTCCCTGCCGGAGCCAGGAACCCCCCTCTCGCTGCACAGGTAGGAAAATCCTATTTCCACGTTCAGTAAAGTAGATTATTAAAGTATTTTTAAAAGAGGGGAGGGACTGAGAAGACAGTCACAGCTTGTTCCTGGGAAGCTGCCACCCCAGCCGCACCCAAAAATGCCCACGCGCCTCCACCCCCTACCTGCTGGGGCATCTCTGGCCACGTCCCGCTCTCCAGAGGTGACAGGGACTCCTTGGCAGCTGGATCCGGCTCAAGCCGTGGCCCAGCCATCCCCGAGCTTTGGAAGTTCGGGTCAGCACCTCTCTCCGTCCAGCGTTGGCCACGCTCGCTGCCCAACCGGCCGGCACAGGGACGGACCCTGCCAGTGCTCACCCTTGTGTCATGCAGACTATGCCAACCAACTGCAGGACAATTACCTCCGCCTTTTTGACACCCGTGGAACAAGCAGAACCTGACTGTAACAGCTTCCACAACAGCCACATGCAAATCCCTTTATGAGCAGCCAGAATTTCAATCTCCCTGGGACAATCCAGGTCCTTGTGCCGAGGATGTGGCCACAGCGGCTCAGGAGATGGTCTTGGAGGTGGGTCTGGTTGCAGCAGGCAAAATGTTCTCCCCTTCAGTGAACAACTCTGTCACCTTCACATTCGCTTTCCATCTCCTGACCCTTGAAAATCACTAAAATTAATCTGCCAGGTCGGTCTAGTGAGCTTATCCTGCAGCAGCGGCGTTCCTGTGCCGGGAGGATGGACAATTGCTGCTGCAACCCCGATGCCCTCCTGGCCGCATCACATCCATGGAGCCTCAAATGATTATTACAGATGTGAGCATCCTGAGGGAGGGATCCATGTGGATGGGATGGGATCCAACCCATCCACGGTGGAACAGCCGCAGTGCTCAGGAGCACCTAGCTCCCAGATCATCCCAACACACAAGCGTGGAGAAAATGCTCCATGATGGACGTCCTATGCTCCTTCCAAGCACAGCCCTCACAGCCCTCATGAACCTGGTGACCCCAACAGACCCCCTGTCCCTGCCATACCTGGCCTTGCAGCTGGAGAGAGTGGGAGAGCTCATCGTTCTCCCAGACTTGCAGCCCCAGCAGCTCCTCCTGCAGCCGCAGCTTCTCCTCCTGTAGATGCGCCATGGAGGCCATCACCTTCTGGATCACCGGGAAGGGCTGGGCCGCTGGTAGGCCGGTGCGTTTCCCAGTGCAGAGCCTGCCTCCTGCAGCAAGAGCAAAGATGGAGCTGGTCAGGATCCAGCTGCCTCCCTGGGGAACAGGATGCCAGCGATGGGAAGAGTCCCTAGGAGCTGCAGAGGAGATGGGACAGCGGGGAGCAGGATTTGCAGAAGTCCCACAGAGAACAGCGATGTGCCAGGAGGAGGTGTATCCTGAGCACCACGGTGCAACAGTGGGGGGTCTGGCCAGGTGAGCCCCTTGAGAGAGCAGGAGCCGAAGGGATCTGCTGATACCAGCAGAGCATCCCAGGCCGTAACACTGAGCGCCGGCCCACGCCACCGTGCCGTGACCCAGCCCCATCACACGCCGGGATGCTGCTGCCTCACTCAGATAACAACCGCCTTCACCACGGTGCTCTGATTCATCCCAGGATCCTTTTTTCTGAATGAGCAGGTGCCGGTGGAAAACTAGTATGCAAGCGTGTTATTAAAGACTGCATCATTATACACAAATATAATGGAAGCTCAATTAAAATTATATGGCTACCCTGAATGGCCACGTTGCCTAATCCTTGCATGTTTGGTTTTCTAACCTTCCTAGTATTATTTTAAACATCGTTTTCTGTGTGTTAATAGAGCCCCCAGTGCTGACAGAAGCCAACCTGGCCATACATCAGAGCCTACCAAATGAATCCCTAAATGACTTGGTAGTTCCCAAGAAATGAGCTGGCCTGAGTCATTCCCGACATGAGGATGAGGCACCGTGGCACAGAGTCCAGGATCCCGGCTGCCCGGCGCCCTTCCCTGCCTGCCGTGGATTTCATCTGCTGCCACCAGAAGCCTGAGGTTTTAAAGGCAGGAGGTGATGCTGGGAATGGCTTGGCTGCCTGTAGGCAGATGCTGCCTGGTTTATAGGAAAGGTCCTGAATACACGAAACAAGACTTCTTTTTTTGTTTATGAGTCAGACCTACCTTTAAAAGAAACTAAATAGCCAGCAGAGCAGGCAAAAAACGAAATGCTGGGACCAAACCATGGCTCTGCTGTTGACCGTGTGCCATGGGAATTATCCAGCAACGTCTGCAGAAGTGACTGCTGGATTCTGTCTTCCTGCCTTGGGCTGGATATCCTGAACGAGCACCGACCGGCACCGGCTTTTCTTTCTTCCCATGCCGAAAGCTCAGCCTGGCTTAGGCAGGGGACTGTGATCTTCCCTTGAAAGCCAACACACACAAAACCCACTCCAAAACTTCTAAAGTTAACAGGAACACCACCTCTCGCCCCCTGGGGAGCGTGCAGGGATAAGAGAAGATTACGGGAGGCACCAGGGCTCCTGAGGACACACCATGTGTCTGCACACACCATCCACACTAATCCTGGGCTGGGACTGAAGACAGAGCTGGGTTCAAAGCCATGGCACCAGGCTGCAAGTTAAATCGCCAGGCAAGGGTGATCCCACATGGATCCCCCCTCCAACACCTTCCTCCTGCAAGAGCATCCTTGGGAGAGGAGCTGCCAGCAGCACTTGCGCTCCATCCACCTGCAAGCACAGCAGGCATGGCATGCTGACCCTCCCGTTTTCCAAATTGTTTGAAATCTGTTTGGAAAGGCAGCTGTTTCCACGGCTCTGCCCCATTATCACTGCCACATGGACTCCCTGTCTCCTGCATCCTTGTCTCTTTCCACCAGCTGCCCCAGGAGTGGCTCGGGGACGCAGCCAGGGCCCATGCCAGGAGCAGCTCCCGGGATGTGCCCCAACGAGCCCTGACAATTTGGTCCTGATGATGAACAACGGGAAACCACGCGGGTTCTCCTGCCCTGGCACAGCCAAGCAGCCTGCAAGCATTTCCACAGATGTCACATTTTCCTTAAGAGGGAGGAAAGAGCGGTGGCTTTGCTGGCGCTCACCTGCTCTGTTCACCCAGTTCAATAATTCATCAGTTGCCTGGTGTCACCTGACAGCTGGCTGGTGTTTCATCTTGGCCAAGACCCAATGTCCCCAGCAAGCGCAGCCACATGTCTATGTCTACCCCAAAGGAGGAGAGGTCCCCCCTGGTACGAGAAGTATGGACGAGAAGCTCAACATGAGCCAGCAGTGCGCGCTGGCAGTCCAGAGAGCCAACCGTGTCCTGGGCTGCATCAGGAGAAGTGTGGCCAGCAGGTCTTGGGAGGTGATTCTGCCCCTCTACTCTGCACTTGTGAGACCCCACCTGGAATACTGTGTCCAGGTTTGGAGTCCTCAACACAGAAAGGACATGGACCGGTTGGAACAGGTGCAGCGGAGGGCCACGAAGATGATCAGAGGGATGGAGCACCTCTCCTACGAAGACAGGCTGAGGGAGCTGGGATTGTTCAGCCTGGAGAAGAGAAGGCTCCAGGGAGACCTTATAGCGGCCTTTCAATACCTGAAGGGTGCCTATAGAAGAGCTGGGGAGGGACTCTTTGCCAGCAGGTGTAATGATAGGACAAGGGGAAACGGTTTTAAATGGGAAGAAAAAAGATTCAGATTAGATCTCGGGAAGAAATTTTTTACTATGAGGGTGGTGAGACACTGGAACAGGTTGCCCAGAGAAGCTGTGGCTGCCCCATCCCTGGAAGTGTTCAAGGCCAGGCTGGATGGGGCTTGGAGCAACCTGGTCTGGTGGGAGGTGTCCCTGCCCATGGCAGGGGGTTGGAACTAGATGATCTTTGAGGTCCCTTCCAACCCAAACCATTCTATGATTCTATGGTACCCGCTGGCAGGTACCGGGCGCTCATCCCATCGCATCCCTCCTCCCGAGCACCCACTGGCGAATCCCAGCTTTCCCCCTTACCTGCTTTCTCTAGATTCATGGTGGATGCTGCCTGCACCTGTGGGGGGGCTGCCGGCTCGGGGGGGGACACCGGCGGCTCCTCCGTGGCTGATGCCAGAGCCTGGTGCTCACTCCCTTCCCACCGCTCACCTGCTGTCTCCCGCAGGACCTGTGTCCGTGAGAAGAAGCAGGAGGGAGAACTGAGATGCAACCACCATGAGCCAGCCAGGAGGAGCAAGCAGGAAGGAGGTCACAGAGGGAGTTCGGTGTTGGGAAGCTCCAGCAATGACTTCCTCGTGTTGCTTTTAGTTCTCCCCATAAACAACTCCTTCCCCCAGCTTGGTCATGCAGTTATACTGAATATTACTCATTTTTCTCTCTCTAGTCTTAAAAAAAAAACAGACCCTGCCTTGTCAGCAGGGTTGAATGTGAAGCTGCTCACTGGTGAGCCGTGGCTCAGGTAACGCCACGGCCCGTGGGAAGGAGCACAGCACCAAAAAAAAAGCCCAAGAAGAAATCTGGAAGGAGGGAAATGACTATAGAGAAGGTCCCAAATTTCTGTATCTAGCATATCTATCACTGGCTTGCATGGAAAAAAACCCCAAATCTGGTTGGTTTTTTTTAAATCACCATTTAAAAAAGCAATGCAGCATGGATGCTTTTGGAAAGATGAGCTGCAGATTGTCCGAGCGCAAAGAATTGCTCCCTCCCCTGCTCACAAGTGTCTTTTCTTACATATATCTTATCTCAGAGCCCGTGACATCACCTCATGGGCCAACAATGCCAAGGAAACCCATCTCACCCCGGGAGAGGGGCAAATACTTGGTAAATGCCAAAATATTTGTATTAGTAATTGGGAAGGAGGAGGTGGGAATATCCTCCTGGAGAAGCTGCGTGTCTGCATGCCTCTACATTTGAGACTCTGGGAGGGTTTCACCAGATAGAATTCATCAAGGCTGGTGTGAGATAAGAAGGAGTTTTCCTTCTTTTCAAAGAAGGGGAATTTAAATGATTTTCCCAAAGCCCAGAATGAACCAATGGCAGCAACACCAGCACACGCTGTCCCGACACAGTCCCTGTAGCCTTTCTCCTCTTCCTCCTCCATCCCACTAGTAAACACCAGCTCATGGCGCTACATTTTTTCATCACCCTTCTGCCTTAAGCTCTCCTGCCCACCTGACCCAGAAATGACCCAAAAATGTTATGCTGGGCTGTTCCCAAGCATTTTTCAGTGCTTTACAACTTCTCGAGGCAAGCAGCACTGAAGAGGAAACTGGCTGTGGTGATGGGGGGAAACCAGCCAGCTACCCACCAGGGATGTCCCGGCAGGGTGCAGGGCATCCTCCCCACCACCCCAAAAAACAGCCACCCTGGCCAAGCCATGGCCATCTCCACGCTCCTCACCTGGAAAGCCCAGCAGAGCTCACTGGTGTCTGTGGTGTCTGGCCAGCTCACACCAAGGATTTTACGGTGAACCAACGCTGGCAGCCGAGGGACCTGGGGAGAAGCACCCGCTCTACTCCCAATGACCAGCGTGTCCTGCCCACGGCCTGAGATGGAGAAAAAAAGCGTCACTGGATCAACCTGAGAGCCCAGGAGGGTCACAGCCTTCGGCCCCACTCAGCAAACCCGCCTCTTCCTCCCCGCTGCCGCCACGGCATTGGCGCAGCTGAGACGGTGCACGAGTTTTATTAAAAATGTTAATTATGTTAATTAGAAAAATTAGCCCTTCGGGGGGTGGAGACTGGTTGCCAACAACTAGTAATGAGAACTCGGGGCGCAGCGTTTGTCTGTCTGTCTGCGGGACCAGATCAGTCCCCACACTGGGGACATCCCACACTGGGGACATCCCACACCTGCCCCTCGCCAAGCCGCTCCGCTCCCGCGATCATATCGCAGAAAAAAAAGCCACCAAAGCCGGGTTGCATCACCGAAACCAGACGGACAGACCAGCGTCACCTCCCTCCGCTGCCCCCAAATATTTCCTTTATTTGTCAGGCAGCCAAACCCAAAAGCAGACAGGGCAGCAGTTCTCTGCCCTTCTGAGCTGCACAGAAGGAAAACAGGATCTCGAGGAGCTTTTTCCCACGGCTGTGTCCTCCTCTACCATGTGAAAAGTGGCTATATGTCCCCACCGGACCTGTCGGGGACCCTGTGCCCCCTCCCCATCCACCTGCCACCACTGCAGCCAGCCAAATGGCTTCTCTGGCAGGCAGGAAAAAAAAATCAACAACCCACAAATAAAACCCCACTAAGGCAGTTGTTTGTTTGTTTTTTTTTTTCCCCTCTAAAATCATGTGGAAGCGGCATCTGGAGGGAGATGTGCCCCGATGAAGCCAGTCCAGTGCTCTGGACTTCTTTCCCAGCCTGTAATAAGCTATAACATTTCGTGGGCGCACGTGCTGTGAAAATTGAGCATTTCTGAAGTGCTGGTGAATACCCGGATAAAGGACGTTGAGTTCCCCATCCCGGCACCACCAGCAGCAGCTGCCGGGCAGAGGAAAGGCTGAAAACCCCATTTCGGAGGCTTTGATGCCAGGGAAGCAGCAGCTCCTGGCTGAGCGGTTGCCAGCGCTCAGGGATGGGGGATGCTGAAGCCAACAGGAAAAAAAAAAAAAGCCCAAACAGGGGGGTGTTCAGCTTCCTGCTTTGCCGAAACCCATCCGGCAGCGCTGAGAGGGAGGTGGGAAGGGCTGTTTCCCAACGCCCGGCTGCAGGCTGGGGCAAGCAGCTGCTCGCCCGCCCCACCACCACCCAGAAAAGCCCTCAACTCAACTCACCTACGGGGTCTGTGCCCCAGGGAGAGACATGGAGTCCTTCCAAGGAGCTGAGGCCAGGGAGAAGCGCAGGCCCCGCGTCTTCCCTGCCATGCGTATTGTTTTCTTTCTTACACATTAAATTTTAACGTTGCTCCCTAAGCTTCCCTCTCGGAAGGGCCATGGGGGGCAGACGGAGGCAGCCCCCCTCTGCTCACCTCCCCAGCTGCCGACCGCTTTGTGCCCGCTTCTGAGCCTCCGTTTCTCAAATCCTGAGCTTCATCCGGAAAGAAATGTGAAAAATGCAGGCTGGCCTGTTCCCAGCCTCTCCTTCCCCGAGCCTGAGCGAGGGCGTGAGCTGAGCCCCGAAGGAGAAGGACAAGCCACCGCGCCGTACTCACCGGCCAGGGGAGGGCCCTTGGGCTTCCAGGCGGCTCTGGCAGAGGGCACGGATCCCAGATCCCAGGTTTTGCGGGATGTGATCATGGCACGGGAGTCCCGAGCGCGGCAGCACCTCTGCGGAGAAGCGCAAGGAAAGAAATCTCAGCCCGCCCTTCATTTCCAGCCGGGAAAGCCCGGGGGACCCCGCCGGAGCCACGGCAGCCCCGGTCCCAGCTCCCGGGAGGACCCCATTTCCCTCCCGGGGGACCGAAAGCCCCGGGCTCCCTCCGTGCTCCCGGCGGACGTGACATAAACCCTGTCTGTAATTAATTTACTCATTCCTCGAGCCTTTCCAGGCTCCTCCTAGCTGCGAGCCGCGGGTTATTTATGAGCCCCGGGAGGGCGGGCAGCCCCGCAGCCCCCGCTGCCCAGAGCCGCCTCGGTGCGGGCGGGGGGCGCGGAGCCCCGGGGGACCCTCGTCCTCCCGACCCGTGGCCCGGGAGGGGCGGTGCCGGTGCCGCTCCCGGTGCGCAGGAGGAGCCGCCCCGCCCCGCGCCCCC